TGCGTTTACTCTTATTGATATCATAATAGGGTAATGATCACTCCCAATAGTGTCTTGTCTCATTATTTCCCATTCAGCACTCCCTGCAATTGCGTCAGACACCATTGTTAAATCAAGCACGGACTCTTTACCTGTTGCCAGCGGTTCTTCTTCGAGCTTCTTCTTCTTCTTATATCTTTCCGGCAGCGTAGACGCTACTGGGCGTATTACTGCCCTCCACAGGTCAAAGTTTGAACTAAATTCTTATATACAGTCCTGTATTATGCAAGAACTGAAGAACTGCCCCAGAGATCAGTTTATGCTCATCACTGTGTCCAAACAAAGAAGTAACAGAAAACACGTTAACTCCAAGTTCTGCCAATTTATCAAAAAGTGATTTTCTTTCTTCATTATACTTCCTACATTCCAAGAAAACATGCCCTACTGTTTCCATATTCCCACATTCACATAATCCAGAAATATGCTTTCCTACAATATACAAAAAGTAATTTAACCCACAGTGCCCCAACCTCAATCTACACCGTTTAACAGAGTCCCTACGAGATGGACAAGTACAAAAACATATTTTCTTAACTTTAGGTTGAATAGAAAAATAATGTCTACCCTTGATTTCCTTTTCCCATCCTCTCTGCCATTCTTTTATTAAGCCCTCTTTAACTCTTTCCCTCAGTTCCACCCTCCTCAAGTTCTTCGAGCTTATTGGTGGTTCGCATTCTTAAAAAAGCATTACCGCCTTCTACTGTGGTAATGGATCAGTGACACTCTTGTACTCCCCAGACCATTCAGGACTCGTGCTTTCAATGTTGCTGCGTGTTCAGCTCTCCTCCATCTACAGCCCAAGTCCATCACAGTCCAGAGATGAGAAATATTTTTTAGCGGTTGGCAAACAATACAAATTATCTTCTTCTTCTGTTTTTTGGCATGTTACATCCTGTGTGCATATCGTCACCTACTTTTCAGGGTTACGAGTCCAACTCTCTAACCATTAGGCCACGACTTCCCCCACTTTTACTCCACTTTTACTTTTGCTGTTATCCAGTCATGGTTTATTTATTATCAATTTATTCCTTGTTTTTGCTTTTCCTGTTTTTACACACGTATATACACAAATATTCCTACTTAAAGGGGTCATATGATGCTTTTTTAAAGATCATTATTTTGTGTATTTGGTGTAACAGAATATGTTGACAATTTCACCTTTACCTAAAGGAACATTAAAATCTATGAATTCTTCTTATCGCTGCTTCTTTCTGTTTCAGAATGAATGAGACTGTGACGTATTGACATGGGCGTGGTTCGTGACGTCACACTTGGATGTGGGCCGGGTTAGATGTCCACCGCAGGCTGCAGCGAGACGCTCCTCTCTGATTGGCCATTGCATTCCTAAGCTCAACAGATATGTGTGTGATTAGTTAAAATGCGCAACACTGTAAAAACGCCTAAAATGAAATACAGTGCAACATGAGCAGATCTTAATTTAATGCCGCAATCGACACTGTCTATTCATATTCACTTTGTTAGCAACTTTGTTAGGGGCATTTTTGTCCAATTTAGTGGAATTTTTGCCCCAAGTCCCCGTGGCCAGGGGAAGGCTAAAAGCCTTGGCTATAAGGTCATGTTGTGGTAGAGGGCAGACTGTGGGGTTACCTGTGGGTCAGAAAGGCGAGCCGGTTCAGGGTACAGGTAAAACACAACCCCCTGCACAGCTCCAGGAAGAGTCAACCCACGAATCAGCAACACCAGCAGCATCACGTAAGGAAATGTAGCTGTGAAATACACCACCTACATGCACAATACAAGATAGATTACAAGAAATATCCACATTAATGTGAACATACCTGTTCCCTTCTGCACACCTACATTTTTTACAAGTGACATTTTTGCACACCTTGCCTGTAGATTTGACTCCTTTCCAGATGCAGAAATAACATATGATCCACATTACAACGAGACACAGAAGAATCTCCCAGTTGAGCTTACCAATCTCCTCAATACTTCCAGAGAGAGACAGCACTTTGCGCCTGGAATAAGAGAGTCAGAAACAATATGCTTTTGTTTTGGTAACACTTTATTTTGATAGCCCACTTTAGACGTTCTATTAACAATAAGTAACTTTGCAATTACGTGTCAACTACCAGTCATTAGAATATTAATAGACTCTCTGTTTAATATCTGCTAACACTTTATTTTGATGTTCACAATGTTCTTGCAAAACTCTGTATCATTGCACTTATTTACTCCCAGAACTCAGTAGCTGCAGGTGTTGAATTAATCAGCATTGTCCGGTTGAGGGTCAAATTCTTTGCAGCAAGATTTACACAGTCATCTAAAAAAAAAAAAAAAAAAAAAAAAAAAATAGGATATTAAGATTTGATATTCAGCAGAGAGCAGCAGACGGGTGTATTGTTTATTTATTTATTTAGATTATCACCTGTGTTCCAGGTGTTGTCACAACTGGCCCATGGCAGTTGGGAGCTGAAAGAGGAGATGAGGTAGAAAAGCGCCCAGGCCAGAATAATGATGTAACACATGCAACTGTACAGAAGAATCAGTTGTCCCGCATAGCCAATACCTGACAAAAGCAAAGAGATACAATGACTAGAAGAGAATCAAAACCAGAATTAAAGGATGATTTACCCTGTCTTTCTGTCTTTCTACTGATTATTCATTAAACCAGATGGTTTCTTCCACAGGTTTTTTTATACTGAAAAATATATTCATAACTTTCATTTAACAAAGAAAAGAGGGAAAAAGAAATAGCTGATATAATGAAATAAATGCCAGTGCGACATGCGTATAAAACTGCATGACAAAAGTGTTTGCATGGAAAAAGATTAATATTTAAACAATTTTTAAAAATCTTTTATAAAGAGATTGTTTTTAAGACTCTCACCCTCAGCCAGTGGACAAAGGTGACGCCAACATGTAATGCCCCCTTCCTGTGTGTACTGTCCCATAGCCGTCTCTAGCAGGAACAGAGGCACCCCACAGGTAACCACAAACACCAGGTAGGGTATCAGGAACACACCAGTGCAAAAAAATATATTATTTAAATATCACTGACTGAATGCTAAGGGAGAGAGTGTTTTATGTATTTAGGTTGCATCTGGTTTTATACCTCCTCCATACTTGTAGCAGAGGTATGGAAACCTCCAAATGTTAGTCCAACCACATTTCCTGCCACAGCCAGAAGAAACTCTGCTTTACTGACCCAGTACCCTCTCTCCTCTGTTTGTCCTTTTATTCTGTCCATTCCATACAGTTTTCACACGTTTCCATTGCTGTCCAGGCTGCACAAATTCTGGAGTGGTGGTTGATGTACTGCATTCTGGGTAGCATTAGTTTAAACAAATGTGTCAAGCTATTCATTGACTGATCCTCCCCAGCTGAACTGACAACCATGTTTACATTATTTAAGAAACAGAAAAGACAGAAGTCTGATAATATTATAATTTTATGCAATAGGTAGGCAAAATTATTCAATTAAAGTGACTAAGTGAAATAATGCAAAGTGACTTTTTAAAAACAAGGTTTGATGTAAAACCTAAAGCCTCCAGTTTAGGAAGACAGTCAATGCAAAACTTGTGTTTCCAATTAAACCTAGGTATATTAACATTCAACTCTTGTGAAATGTTTTGTTGTGATCATGTACAACATGTACATTTCTTTTTAAAAGTGCTGGATGGTTCAGTTCATGGCTTAGCACTCTTTATTGAATTTGGGAAAAATAACAAGACCACAGAAATATTCAGCATCCACTGTTCCACTTTATTGTCCTAACATCCATATATATAACCATGTTTTGAATTAAATATTAAATAAGCCAGGAAAAATAAATAAATACATAAATAAAATAAACAAATGCACACTTACATACATACCATTGGTGGCAAAGCCAGACATCTCCGAGTGAAGATTTTCCTTAGTTTCTGTGGTGAAGTATGGTGGATCTTGGTCTTTGTCTCCTTTCAATGTCTCTATTCTACTTGCAATTCAAAGTAGTTAAACCACAGTCAAGCTATTTTGAGTATAGTATTCTACAAGCCTGTTCCCAGGGACACACAAACAGTACTTATTTTGCATATCTCCCTGATCTGACCCATTCATTTCAGTTCTTGGAGTCTCTATGAATGAGCTGATGAATTGAATCAGGTGAGAGCTGGAATGCCATATAGGGACTCAAATCAGTCATCAAATCATCGTCAAATAATTTTGTAATCTGTTTATTTACAGGACCGTTTGGATGAAACAATTCACTAGAATACGTCAAAATTTCAAAAGCTACATACAGTATGAGAGAGAACCGTTTAGGAAAAAATTTGCTGGAATGAATTAGGCTTTCCAAAGCTACACCTTGAGAGAGGAAACTCTACATTGTTTTCTGAGCTACCCTTAAAGCTACTTATATAAGTGTTTGGAGTGTCGTTGTCATAGTGGTGTGCATGTTGGATGTTATGGACACTCTTAAACCTTGGTTTCAGTCACCCTGGCTCTTTGGTCTTACCCCTGCATACAACAAAAATTGTCACTGGTGTATATCTGTGTTTTTATATGCAACACGAGTTCTTATTTCATTTTGAGTCATGAGGAAAGATGCAATGAGGTAATAATTTGTGGTTCAGTGATTAATTCACTTACTGCTTAAACTGATTTAATGTTTGATTCAATAAAAGTAAGCAACTCCTACCAGTGAATCATTTTGACTCTTGTCATTTGGACTTGTTGCACCGTAGTCATTCATGAATCATTCACTCACTCAGTCTATAGGCCTACACTGGTCGATTGAGGAACCCTGATATAATCCCTGAACTCTTGATTGATTACCCCAAATATTTAGTTACTCCCTGTTCCAAAAACGTGGTCTGGAATTAGTTTGGTCAATCCAGATAATCCAGTTAAGGTTATCAGTTTACTCTGAGTAAACTTACCCGGTTAAGCCGCCTTACCTGATTTCCAGAGTACCCTGGGATTATCCTACCCATAAATATTGTGGTGTTGTCAAGTGGGATTGTAACCTTCCTTTTCTTTCTCTGGACCATTATGTTTTACTAAAAACCAAGAGGTAAGAACAGACATACGCCAGACATATAAAAACAGAGAAGTTTTATGGCAGCTAAAATAAAAAGTGGATTGCACACAACACTCAGTTTGGCATTTTATTAATTGTGAAAACTTGAAATCATTATATTAGATTTACTTGTAAGTTTTTGTTTGTACAAAAATTCTGACAGAATAATACAAATATCCTGTGAAGACCTAAACATTTATAGAATATAACATCCCTGAGTAACATTTCTTGTTTTCTGTGTACTAGTATTTAAGCATGCTATGTACTCTCGTGTCCACACAGAGTTGCATAATAAGTCAAGCAAATTTCATCTATGGTCATAGATAGTACTCCATGTTAAGTGGCCCCACAACATGAGAAGTAGTCGAGAAGTAGATACCCCACTGTGCGCCCTGTTGTTTTCTCGTAAGGCCCTTTGCTGACTGGCTTTGAGATGACAGCTTATCATATTACCCGCTCCATCCCACAGCACTATCTCTGCATGAGGGCCACAGCAGCCTGAGGAATAACGCATCATTACGGGTTTCCCCTTAGTCCATTCACTGATATTTACTGGATGATCCCACTTCAATAGCTGGACTTGGTCCAGCCTTTGACCTCCATGTTCAGCTTCTGTTCCAAAGTGCTGTTCTGAGGTGTCCTTTTGTGGCTGTAGCAATGGAAGATGTACTGCTCCTGTGTTCTCTTCATGAATCTGTGGGAAATGTTCTTCACCTCTCTGCATAGTCACTTCAGACAGAATGAGAGTGCCTTCTCCTTGTGCCAGCCGAATGGATGCCAGTCCAGAGTGACCTCTGTCTTTTGCTACAAGTGAGACTTTCCAGTGGCCCTGAGAGCACAGAGAGGGGCAGGAGGACTCCACATGCAGGGAAGAACATGCCGGAGGCATTTTGTCAGGCTCCTGGAATTTTTACATGACCACATTTAAACATTTACAATGTTTAATTAACAGTCTTATTCACATGAGACAGTAAACTCAGAAATTGAGTCACACTTAAAAATGTATGAATGTCAAGGCATTAGATGGCAAAATGGTCAAGTCACATTGGCAAACAAGTGCTGCTAAAGCCTTTGTCATAACTTCATTTTTCGAAGCCATTTTTGAAAGGAGCAACTGGTGTAAAGGTGATTTGTAGTGAATGGATGAAGCAAGCTCCCTTTAAGGATATGTTGAGGAAAAAAAAATATATATATACAGGTGCATCTCAATAAATTAGAATGTCGTGGAAAAGTTAATTTATTTCAGTAATTCAACTCAAATTGTGAAACTCGTGTATTAAATAAATTCAATGCACACAGACTGAAATAGTTTAAGTCTTTGGTTCTTTTAATTGTGATGATTTTGGCTCACATTTAACAAAAACCCACCAATTCACTATCTCAACAAATTAGAATATGGTGACATGCCAATCAGCTAATCAACTCAAAACACCTGCAACGGTTTCCTGAACCTTCAAAATGGTCTCTCAGTTTGGTTCACTAGGCTACACAATCATGGGGAAGACTGCTGATCTGACAGTTGTCCAGAAGACAATCATTGACACCCTTCACAAGGAGGGTAAGCCACAAACATTCATTGCCAAAGAAGCTGGCTGTTCACAGAGTGCTGTATCCAAGCATGTTAACAGAAAGTTGAGTGGAAGGAAAGAGTTTGGAAGAAAAAGATGCACAACCAACTGAGAGAACCGCAGCCTTATGAGTATTGTCAAGCAAAATCGATTCAAGAATTTGAGTGAACTTCACAAGGAATGGACTGAGGCTGGGGTCAAGGCATCAAGAGCCACCACACACAGACGTGTCAAGGAATTTGGCTTGTCGTATTACTCTTGTTAAGCCACTTCTGAACCACAGACAACGTCAGAGGCGTCCTGAAATGAACTTTTCCATGACGTTCTAATTTATTGAGATGCACCTGTATATATGTATATATATATATATATATATATATATACAGGAGGAGAGCGGGGGACAGAGAAATGTTGTCAATGTCTATGGCACTCCCACTGAACAATGTAGTAACTAAATATATTGCTCTATAAATATATAATATATAAAAATATATAAAATATATAAATATATAGAACTGTGCAAGAGAGAGAGACTGCTTGTGAAAGAGAGCGGGTAAATAAACAGTTTCAGTTTATCTCCAAAAAGGACGGATGAGAGTGCTGGCAGTTTATGCGAGCTGCCGGTATGCTAGAATTACTCCTTGTACTGTGAACAGCAGCACTAAAGTGCAGAACTGCCTGTACAAACACCGGGATGCACAATGTTTGTTTTTAGTCTGGTTATAGTCAAGTAAACAACACATAGCAACATTACGTGACTGTTGGTTCCTCAAGGCTGTAGAAACACACAGCCGGCTTGCAACTGAGAACAGGCTCTGGCTCCAGAACGCAAACCATTCTAGTGGAATGGGGTAATTAACACTTTACAGTAATCTTCAGCGTGTTCCATTAAAAAAAAAAAACATCCATTCATTTTCACTCAGCGTTTCAGGTGCAGGTGGAAGAAACACACTGGACAGATGACCAATCCATCACAGGATACACTCATACACAGACTCACACCAAGTAAGTCTCCTGCATATTTTTTTTGGATTGTGGGGGAATCCAGAGCACCTGAAGAAACCCACACAGAAACAGGGAGAAACAGGTCTCGAACTGGGGACCTTCTTGCCGTGAGGCAACAGTGCCATCCACTGTGCTACAATATTATAGGTCATCGTTAATTCATATGTTTACTCAACTAATTTTAATATATACAACATGTCATACAGTATGTACAGTATATGTAAAATATTAACCAAGAATAATAAATGCGAAAAAAAAAAAAATATATATATTTTTTTTCTTCATTATTTAATTTCTGTCAGGACCACTATCGTCAAAGATGATTGATAATTAGCATACAGTTTGGATTGGCGGTATGGTTCTGTTCTGGGCAAGAACTCCCTGCGCATCCATGCAGCCTAGCATGGATGAGAGCAGGGAGACCAGCGATAACCCCCCCTAGGGTAAACAGAACAGAACCAACATAAATGTATTGCAGATATAGTTAAAGTTCAATAATTTTATGTACACATTTTAGAATTAGTCTGATTCAAAGGATAATCAGAAGGCTGAATCCTGACTGACAGAGGAGGAGCTGGGGATGGAGGGGAGTAATTAGCTATTGAGCAATGCGAAAACTGCTGATAATACTGAGGGATCTTATATATGAATGCTTAGATAGGTGTCGTATTCCTATAGGTAGATGGGGATCAGCTGAGAGTCAGCTGATGCAAGCTTGACTAACGTGACCTGCCAGAACTAACGTTACGCTTGATGTTAGCTGTTGCATTAACCAACAAATTTAACCTTATTGTAAAGGAAATATATTCTATAATGTTGTGATGGCTCTTACCTCGGGTATCACTGTCAGATGTACCACAGCATAATTTGAGTCTGGTAAGCCTTCTGCCTGAACAGTCAGAGTCAGGGTGATGGCTGTCCCTGCCTGGGCAGTATGAGGGGTCCTCAGCTCAACCTCTCTCTTCATAGAGCCCCTTGCACCGATAAACAGCCTAAAAATGGAATAATAACATGGATATATCAAACCCCTCTGACTGGAATATAAAATTATATCATATCCATCTTTAACCAAACTACTGATACACATTCAAGGTAGACTTGTTTTATATATTAGTAAAGGCTGGTGTATTTGTGTCATTTAGCTGGCTCTTTCATTTCATCGTTCTCACCTTTGTTGGTCTGGGTGGGAGAGATACCCATGGTCATCTTTTGCTGAAAGACTGAAGTGATGGCTGGGGCCATGATTAAATATCTCAAACAGCACAGTTGAGCAGTGACTTGGGAGAAGTTGTGGAGCTGAATGCACCTAGGGATGAGGGGCACTTTTCATTTTGCTGTTTTACAATTTGCCAGCAAATTATTCTTGAACTTATTCCCTTCATACCTGTATCTGTACATGTGTCGGTTGAATCATCTCAGTGGAAACTCTTTCGAGCAAGTTTCCCCTTCTATCCTTTCCTGAGAGACGCATGTTGAATGGTATCACGGGAACTGAGTCCATGTAGCCCACTAGCTCCTCTCCAGACCAATGAGAAGATGAGGAGTTCAGCAACACCTTCTGCAGGCTCTCCCCATGAGGCCCCAACAGGGTCGCGTGACTGAATGAGGCCTCCTCATTGGGTGACATGCCTGTCACTGCAACCACTAAAAACACTGGGACTCCTATTAAGAAATGTGGTGGTAAGAACTCACATAATCACTTGACATGTATAGATCCCAACAACAGTGAAAATATATACAAAATTAATTCAGCATTACACAAATGGCTCACAGAATAATGAGAAAGACCTGCTATAGGGCTGCCTTCCATTTTCCTCAGTCCTGGATGTGTCTCATTGGCTTCTCTTGCAAAATAGTACAGGAAGTCCAAGCTGCTATCACCTAGATACACATGACATTTTTTATTACATAGTTTTATAACTAACTTAATTGTATTAAGTTAAGACTGGGTGCTTTTACAAGCATCTTTACCTAGGACATTGAATGCCATTGGTCCAATGGCTTTGATTGTAACCTGCCATACACCTATCTCTAGCGGAGGCAGCAGGCTTATTCTATATAGACCTTTAGACGAGTCTAGCATTGCCAGAGAACCATCAGTACCAGGAAGAGATTGTCGAACACCTGAGAGATAAAGATAAGTAAGATAAATTATCCATAGAATCTTACAAATGGGGAATTCTACAATGTACAGTAAGTGATTCACCCTATGGGATGTTGTAACATGTGAAGTGCCAGAATGTGAACTTCCCACAATTGCTCAAAAAGGCATGAGATACTACAGAGATATAGGTGATACAGAGTGAAGCAAAGAGAGAATAAACTGCATTAATAGTTGTGAGTCAAGCGCTCAAGGGATATTTCTGTCTTTAGGTGTTTTTATGAAGTAAGAGAAGGACTAAGCTGCTCAAAGTCAAGAAGATCATTCCACAACCAAAGTACATGACAATTTGGGCCTTTTTTGAATGGTTATTAAAGGCTGTGACACACCAAGCTGACATCAAAGAACTAGTGGCAACGAAAGCCGACTGTGTTGTGCTTAGGTAGGAGGATGGATGGATGGATGGATTGATTGTATGCTTCTAGCAAAAGTTCTCTGCGTAAGTATGGGTACCTGAGGGACTGACAAGCTCACAATATCTGAGCTGACCAGTGATGTGCAGCATCACTTTCGTCACAGCTTTGTCCACTCTGAAGGAGTTTGATGAATCTGATTCACTCTCTGTGTGAAGCAGAGTCACCTATTCAGAGAAAGAAACATGGTCATGCAGAATCCTGTATCCACAGTTCTGACAAGACAATTTCATTCTTAAAACAGGCAGACACTATGGTCTTTTGGTCCTCTTTTGTTTCCAGTTGACTGTACCTTGCTGTAGGTGGTGGTGTCTTCCACAATGGCTGACACATTGCGGATGTCTTTTTTTGTAGTGAAGATAGTCATTCCTCCGCAACCACTAAAAACACTGGGACTCCTATTAAGAAATGTGGTGGTAAGAACTCACATAATCACTTGACATGTATAGATCCCAACAACAGTGAAAATATATACAAAATTAATTCAGCATTACACAAATGGCTCACAGAATAATGAGAAAGACCTGCTATAGGGCTGCCTTCCATTTTCCTCAGTCCTGGATGTGTCTCATTGGCTTCTCTTGCAAAATAGTACAGGAAGTCCAAGCTGCTATCACCTAGATACACATGACATTTTTTATTACATAGTTTTATAACTAACTTAATTGTATTAAGTTAAGACTGGGTGCTTTTACAAGCATCTTTACCTAGGACATTGAATGCCATTGGTCCAATGGCTTTGATTGTAACCTGCCATACACCTATCTCTAGCGGAGGCAGCAGGCTTATTCTATATAGACCTTTAGACGAGTCTAGCATTGCCAGAGAACCATCAGTACCAGGAAGAGATTGTCGAACACCTGAGAGATAAAGATAAGTAAGATAAATTATCCATAGAATCTTACAAATGGGGAATTCTACAATGTACAGTAAGTGATTCACCCTATGGGATGTTGTAACATGTGAAGTGCCAGAATGTGAACTTCCCACAATTGCTCAAAAAGGCATGAGATACTACAGAGATATAGGTGATACAGAGTGAAGCAAAGAGAGAATAAACTGCATTAATAGTTGTGAGTCAAGCGCTCAAGGGATATTTCTGTCTTTAGGTGTTTTTATGAAGTAAGAGAAGGACTAAGCTGCTCAAAGTCAAGAAGATCATTCCACAACCAAAGTACATGACAATTTGGGCCTTTTTTGAATGGTTATTAAAGGCTGTGACACACCAAGCTGACATCAAAGAACTAGTGGCAACGAAAGCCGACTGTGTTGTGCTTAGGTAGGAGGATGGATGGATGGATGGATTGATTGTATGCTTCTAGCAAAAGTTCTCTGCGTAAGTATGGGTACCTGAGGGACTGACAAGCTCACAATATCTGAGCTGACCAGTGATGTGCAGCATCACTTTCGTCACAGCTTTGTCCACTCTGAAGGAGTTTGATGAATCTGATTCACTCTCTGTGTGAAGCAGAGTCACCTATTCAGAGAAAGAAACATGGTCATGCAGAATCCTGTATCCACAGTTCTGACAAGACAATTTCATTCTTAAAACAGGCAGACACTATGGTCTTTTGGTCCTCTTTTGTTTCCAGTTGACTGTACCTTGCTGTAGGTGGTGGTGTCTTCCACAATGGCTGACACATTGCGGATGTCTTTTTTTGTAGTGAAGATAGTCATTCCTCCAGACAAAGAAGAAAGAGAGGAATACAGAGAGAATCTACCAGGAGATAAAGATTCTCTTCTTTTCCTCTTTCTCATTCCTCTTCCTCTTACTGTGAGTCTTAGATCTTCGGTAAGCAAAAAGTTCACCTAGCATGTACCGAGATTAGATGAATGAAAACAGTGGCTCTGTTCCAAAACCTTAAGTTGCCTTCCCAACATACTGTAGGCAACTGGGCAACACTTTATAATAACTTTCATTAATAAATCATTGACAAACATTATATAATGCTTAATGGATCATTCGTTAATATATATTCAAAGAGTTAGAAACATGAGATAATGTGCTTGTTAATGTTTGCTAATACACTTATTAAACAGATAATGTTCACACAAATCATTATTTCATTTAAGTTAAAGTACTTACAAATGTCATTAAACTTTCAATTCCATTTGATCAAGCACTTATTGAAAATCTATAAATGATTTTAATAGATGTTATAAAATGATTAAAAGCTTGTGTTAATGCACAACACTTTTGCTGCTATTGAGGAGTGATACGGGTAAGGTTAGGGACAGGTTTGGTGGTATGGGTAGGTTTAAGGGTTGGTTAAAGGGTCAACAGTGTACAGAGGTCAGTTTGATTATTATAAGGGAACATGGTTCAGTCTGTTTATATTATATTGTGTTGATAAATGAACAAGTATTTTCTTTTTAAAATTATTTGTTTTCCCCTGTTTATTTATGAGTCAAGGAATATCCTGTTTAATGATATACTGAAGAGTAGTATACTAATGTGAGTGTTGAGGCGATAAAAAGTTTTTTTTGCACCAAAATGACAATCTGTTATGTCTTTAGCAAGCATTTAGCTAAACTTAACCAGCCACCCTTTACACAAACCTTGTTATATTAGCTAAAAGTCCAATGCCCATAAAGATACTAAATGATTAGTAATCATTTATAAACATTTACAAAAGATGAATAGTTTCAACTTTAGATTGGCTACTGCAAAAAACATGAACAAATGATTAATAAATGATTAGTAAAGATGTGTGAATAGGGTAAATTCAGGTCTTTCGGGACACTTTTTGCCATTGAGATGTTCATAAAGGTATTAATGATTAGTAAAACATTTGCAAATGTTGAATAGTTTCCACTTTAGATTGGGTACTGCAAAAACATGAGCAAATAATTAATAGATTATTTGTTAAGATGTATAAATAGAGGTCTACACAACAAACAAAGACCAACAAATGAAGATCATGTGAACTGAAAGTTTACTGACTTTTGTAAGCATTTCAATTTATATTAAATTATCATATGTTAATCATTAGGTAATGTTTAGTAAGTTCATTAGTAAACATTAACAAGAACATTATCTCATATTTCTGCTATGTGAATATATATTAACTAATGATCTGTTAAGCATTATATAATGTTTGTTAATTATTTATAAATAAAAGTTATTATAAAGTGTTACCGAAAGCAACTGCTTTCTGAGGCAGCATCATAGCTGAAATGGAACATAATAAATGACTGATCTAGAATATGCATCACATATATAGCTCTCTTCCCAGGAGAGTCAATACAGTTTGATGTTAGCATGCTGCTAAGCTACCAACACGATACCCTAATAAGCATAACAATACAGAATAAGCCTAAATACATATTTACAGTCCATGTTTAATTAGATCAAACTATTTCTATAAATACTTTTCATCATTGAATGCTTCAGTAGTGTGTGTTTGTGGTTTACCTTTGTTTGCTTCTCCAGTATGAGTGCCTGGACTGCACTCTGCAGATGACGGTCTTTAGGAGAGGCGTCTGTGAATACGAATATCTCTGACAGCGGAGGGCTATGGGTCAGAGCCAACTGACCCACAGACACATTCAAACAAATAAGACACACAGATAGAGACACACTTAGAATGTACATCATTGTCATTTGTTGAATTTATTTATCTCAACCATATGTGCTCCATGGGATTTAAACCCATGACACTGATATTGCTAGCACTAAGGTCTAAAGCATATTAAAAACGTGATCTCAGGAAATAGTGCCATTTGACCATAGAATTTAGAGGAAATTATTTAATTTGAAAAGGTTAGTGCTGGTAAGTGTTTATTATATTTTCCACTTCAGGCCCAATTTACTAGACATAAGCCGTGTCTCAGTTTAGAGGCTGCATCCTTCTTATCTTATCAGGATGCAATTTTATAGACAGTTAAAGATATTTAGGCAGGTTTGAGCCCTATTTTGTTTTCAGACAGTTGATATTCAACTATCACTTTAAAAAAGTCCAGTACAAACGTTACTGCTGCTTGTCAACTGCAGCTGTCACAGCTGCTAGGCTACAAGAACAATCCTCCATAGGCTAGCTAGACCATCCCATTTAACAATGCTCAGTACAACGATGACCGCATCCTTTGGTAAAATCTCACCCCTAAGATTTTTTATTAGTGGTCCACAAATATGGGGATTTCCCTGTTGATTTGATCAATAGTAAGGCTATAATTTTGTTTAATTGTGTTCAAAGTTTAATGAGAATGTTATATGTCTTCAGGTGTTATGGTTACCTGAAGGGCAGAGAGACACATCTCTGGTTCATCCCCACCTCCAAGAGCCGTCAGATCCTCCATGTATTGCATGAACTGATGAGGGTCATCCGTCTCCATCACCGGCCCAAAACCTGAGATATCATCAGTGTGCTTAACGTATAACTAAATAAATATCTGTATTCATCTAATTTTGCTTCAAAGAAAATCTTCGAGATGAAAACAGGATTTTTACATTTTGCAACAAAATGTTTTGTTCAGTGTAATAGGCATAAGATGTAATTCTAACCAGGGTCATGAAAAGGCACCAGAATGAAGGTGCCAGGCAGACTAGTGCGTTGGCTCTTTTCACGGGCCTGTATTATGGAGAGGGCTCGGAGTCGGGCAGCTGTGATCTCCTCAAACATGCTGCCAGTGGTGTCCATGACGAAGACCAATGCTGGGGGCTGCTGGACACTGAAGAGCCTACAGGTTTCCACAGACTTCATCACTTATGCGTTTTTCATCATTGGATAAATCTGTTTCAATTACTGAATTAGCAAATAATGAATAAGCCCACCCAAACTTTCTATTTCAATAAAACTGGAAACAGGAAGGTAAAAACTGTACAGACATGCCAACCTTTTCTCATGCACTCAATATTAACAAAAGCTGTCACATATGGTGTCTAAAGTAAAACAGGAATTCCACTCTTTCCTCATAGATCACGGTAAACAGTATTTATGTTAAATTAAATTGACCTCTGACCTGAGGAAGCTTTTGAGCCCCACCTCATTGCGGAGGTCATGGAGCACTCTGAGGGTTGCTGTGGTTGCCAGATGGGCAGCTTCTTTATGGAGGTAGTGATGAGGGGAGAACAGCGGAGATGTGCTGTCCTTGTTGATTCCTCCCTCTGCTCCTTGGTGACGACTACTGTCCAGAATTCCACCATGACTGCACTTTCCTTTAAATAACAAGACAATACATGTTGCTTTTCTTATAAGTAGCTTACTAAATCATCAGAATGAGCCATAACTCAGATTACCTTTCTTAGTTTAACGTTTTGACCAATCAGACACACAATTATTTGTTATATTCAACAAATAATCCCTAACACCCCTCACCCAGCCAACTATGAGGGTTTATAGACCCTTCCCCTGAAATGCAACTAACACCTCAAAAAGGGGAACAGGCCTCTGGTTCCATGGCAACCAAAGACAAATCATCTGATAACACTGGTTTTATTGCTCAAAGGAATGCGGGCAGAGCTCCCCCACCCCCCTCCGGGGGGAGCCAATCACGGCAGCCATGGTGTACCTGGGGTTAAGGACAGACAAGGCGAGAGAAAAGGAGATGGAAGGATGAGGAGAGACCGAGACGAGAGAGGGGAGAGAGGAAAAAAAAAAAAATTATCTGCCAGATTCCCGGACACACTGCCGCTTGGTCCTCAACCAGCTGAGATGCTCTCACTCGTGGTGCCATGCGATGGCACTGGACATCCTATGGTGGACTGCTCAATGCTCCTCCACCTCCTTGCGGACGGCGATGGCTCCTCTTATTGAGGGTAGCTGGCAGCGAGTCCCCCTTTCCCTGCTCCTCCCTAAACATGGCGGACGGTAGCAGGCTCCGGCCTCCCGGCAAACGGTGCCGACTCTTCCACTCCCTCTCGGACGGCAGCCAGCCCTCCTCGACCCAGGAGCAAGGCAGCGAGGTCTCTGTCCCACTTCGTCTTCCAACGCTCTAGCACCACCTCCTCAGGCAGCCACTAGCGGTCTCCACTCCTTCGTGCCCAATCTCCTCAGCACCGCAACCCCCCTTTAGCAGTGAGGGCTCTGTGACAGCATGTCCCTCCTTCCTCCCAGGTTTCGGCACCAATGTAACAAAGTTCATAGATCGGGGGAGGAGGAGGCGGGAACAGGCAAACATTTAAACAAAACTTTAATAATCAAATAAACAAACGCAAAATGAAAGTAAAAGTGGCAGCCCCTCCCGGACGACTGCCGCATAAAACATAATAAAACAACAACATAAATAATCCAGGCCTGGTCCTCTCTCGTCCTTCACTGTCATCACTCCTCTTTTTATCCATCTGGAGCTCCTCCGTGGGACCCAAGACCAGTGAATGGCGCAGGTGTCGCTCATTATCATTAACTCCACCGGCCTCGCTCCGTTCCCATAGCTCTCGGCCCCACCCCACTCATCACAGTATATTATATGTTGATACCCATGCAACATGTTAGTGTTCTAAGAATCTTCAATAGTTTTTGCATCAGCACCCAATCCCATTGCATATGCAAAATACCATGCTCGAAGAAAAGTGCAAGTCACCATTGGCTCTTTGACTCCCCAGAGGTGAGACCTGCACAGAACTTGAAAGGCCTCACATCAGTGACCCACCTCACTCTAGCTTTTTGTCTCTGTCTCTGCTCTCATCACCTTCCCGTCTTCCGCTCCTGGCCCTGGGGCTGGCACAGCCACGCTTGGCAGGCCTCGCCTACAGAAATGTCTTCACTTTCCCTCTGGGAGAAAACTCTCCCGACCACCACAGATTCAGAATAACATCTTTTGAACATCATCACCCTTCAAACCCGGAAGAACGTGATCGCAATTCCAACACCACCAATCCTTCAAACCATCAATACTTTTATCTGAGACTGCATCTGGACACTCGTTCAACGGCCAAGGCAATGCAAGTATTGTACAGTTATCTAAATGAAACAGAGGTTTAGTATAAGCTGTAGACCCCTCTGTAAAATGGCGGTGATGGTTTCACTCAGGTGGTTAACTGACTCCTTTTCGTGAAACAGAGGTTTAGTATAAGCTGTAGACCCTGCTGTAAATGGCGGTGATGGTTTCACTCAGGTGGTTAACTGACTCCTTTTCGTGAAACAGAGGTTTAGTATAAGCTGTAGACCCTGCTGTAAATGGCGGTGATGGTTTCACTCAGGTGGTTAACTGACTCCTTTTCATAGCTTCATTCCCTGTTCCTCTATTGGTTTCATTCATTCATTCAGTCTCATTTGCACTTCCCCCATGTATGAGTGATTGTATGTTTGTTTGTTTAGACAAGTTTGTGTTAGTGCATCCTACGCAAGTATGCGTTTCCCCCAGTGAGCCTTCTCGCACAGATACTGTGCAAGGTCAGGGAGGACGAGGAACAGGTCCTGTTGGTTGTGCCTTACTGGCCCACCCAGACCTGGTTTTCGGAACTCATGCTCCTCGCAACAGCCCCTCCCTTGCAGATCCCCCTGAGAAAGGACCTTTTTTATCAGGAGCAGGGCACCATATGGCACCCACGTCCAGACCTCTGGAAACTCCACGTGTGGTTCCTGGAAGGGACATAGCAGACTTAAGTGATCTGCCACCGCCGGTGGTAGACACTATCACTCAAGCCAGAGCTCCTGCTACCATGCGAGTTTATGCCTTGAAGTTGGAGTTTGTTCGCTGACTGGTGTTCTTCTCGACGAGAAGACCCTCTGAAGGTGCCCGATCAGAGTCGTGCTTTCTTTCCTGCAAGGAAGGTTGGAGGGTAGGATGTCACCCTCCACCTTGAATATGTATGTCACTGCTATTGCAGCACATCACTAGGCAGTGAACGGCCGGTCACTGGAAAAGCATGACCTGATCATCAGTTTCCTGAGGGGTGCCTGGCGGTTAATCCCTCCTAGGCCACCCCTCATGCCCTTCTGGCATCTCTCTGTTGTCCTGGCGGGACTCTGTTGTCCTGGTGAGAGGGATCCCTTTGAGCCCCTGAAGTGGAGAGTTCCTAGTGTTCGAGCCAGCCTACTCTCATGTTGTCCTGAGTCCCTGGCCTGGATACTTGGCCAAGGTTTCCAATACTCCCTTCTGGGACCAATTGGTGTGCCTGCAAGCACTGCCCCCGGAGAAGGCAGATCCAGCCTTGATATTGCTGTGTCCCGTATGCGCCTTGCACAATTATGTGGACCGCACCAGGAGCGTCAGAAGCTCTGAGCAGCTCTTTGTCTGTTATAGTGGCCAGCAGAAGGGGAAGGCTGTCTCCAAGCAGAGGTTGGCTCACTGGATAGTGGATGTCATCGCCTTGGCATACCAATCCCAAGGTAGCCATGCCCTCTGGGGGTGAGGACTCATTCCAACCGGAGTGTAGCCTCCTCCTGGGCTTTGGTGCATGGCGCCACTCTAGCAGAAATATGCAGAGCTGCAGGCTGAGGGACACCTAACACTTTTGCGTGGTTCTACAACCTTTGCGTAGAGCTGGCCTCTTCCCGTGTGGTGGGTAATAGGTAAGTGGCGAAGAGAACTGGTTTGGTGTCATGCTTGCAGTGCCATTCAAGTCTTTTTCCAGAAGTTGAAATTCCTTCTCTTAAAGAATTTCTGTGGACGGAACAGCAGCATAGCCTTCTCTAGCAGCGATGTACTCACCATTGACTCCTCTCGGCACCAAGGTCAGTGAATTTACTCTGGGCGACTGGGAAGGTTACGACTTTTGCATTTACATTTGCCTTGACATGCGATGGCTTGTCAGCATTTGCAATGCCACAAGTTGTAACGACGTTCAGTGGTTGTGGTGCTTTCCATAGGGACCCCTAAAGTAGTCACGACATAACTCGTAGTTACCGACAGATAGGGAACGTCTCAGTTATGTACGTAACCCTCGTTCCCTGATGGATGGAACGGAGACGTTATGTTCCCTTGCCACAACCCTGAACCACTCGCTGAGTGCTGGGACACAGTCTCAGCTCCTCAGCATAAACCTGAATGAGTGGATGCACGCCGCCATCTTATATACCTGTATGTACGGATGAGTGGCTTGGCATGCAAAATCCACTCACCAATTCTCATTGGCCTTTTCTCTTAAACTCAGAGATGATTGGGGCTCCCAAGTAAGACCCTCAGTGTTGTCACGACATAACGTCTCTGTTCTCTCCATCAGGGAATGAGGGTTACGTATGTAACTGAGATGATCTTCAAACTGACTTACAAATAAAGAGCTGAATCTTATGAAATCTGTAAAGAACGTTTCCAGCTTATATTTCACCCCAAACTCAAAGTAATAAGAAATTATATTTTTTTAAATAGTAAAAGTTAAGTAAATTAAGATTATTTGTAGGATATTTTGCATAGTGGCACTGTTTTAATGACAATTAAGCACCCTCCCCCAATTACCATAATGCAAATTGTAAAGTATTTTTACATCTTTTGTCTCAATTTATGCATATTTAAATAAAATTATTCTGGTAATTTTTACTGTAAGAGAAAAAAAAAGTACTACAGTAATGGGAATACAATTACAAACAAATAAACAAACAAATGAAATCTCAAAATATTACAGTAATTAGATGAAGAAATTAAGAAGGTAAATAGGAAATGTTCTTAATTGTCACGTCACATGTAATTGTCATAATTTCAGAAAGTCTTACATTTTTTTTTTTTTTTGTACAGAGTGCTTATACCAAATACACAATATATGTAAGAACAAATGAGGTATAAAAAACAGGTATTTATCTTACCTCTACTGGCTTCTTTCCTTTTGTGGTCTCAGTCTCTGTTTTCAGCTTGTATTTTTGTATGTTTTATCGTTTGACAGACCCAAACACCAATCAGCATTCAGAATTGTACATGGTGTGGTTTTCACCCTCAGACAAAGATGCAGCCAGCAATTTGTCTCCTCACCACATTACGTGCAGTCTTTTGAATAACAGTAGCTCAATACCAAGTTTTAAGACTCTTGATTTTGTGAATATTTTTGGAAACGCTTCTAAGTTAAGTAAGAGACAGAAACTTGCCTGCAGCCTGCTAAGATGGATGTCCGCGAGACACATATCCTCATGACCCCACTATTGCATGTGCTTCCCTCCTTGTCTTCTTTCTCTTTACCGTTTTTCTCCCTCACTTGCCCCATTTTAGCATGCTGCATTGACTCAACACAATAGTGCTGCATATATTAAGGGCCAGTGTGTCCCCCTTCCCTGCTCTTCAGTTCTGTCTTTTGCTTGACATGAAAACACACACCATGCTCACTTGCCCCAGTGCTTCTATTGTGACTTCATGGTGAAAGAAGACTTCAGACGTGTTGTTAACCAACCCCTCTCCTGGCATTAGAATTTAGACCAAAGCTTTAGAAGGGCTGGAAGGATTAAACTGTATTGTATTGTGGATCTTTTGTTGTTTGTGGGTTCAGCTTATAGAGAATCTATTGCTGGATGTTTACTTATAGTTTACTGCTTGTTAAATATAATTCAGTAAAAAAAAAAAAAATAGTGCCTACTATTTTTAAAAATCTTATGCCAAATAGAACACATGCAACAAAATGTATTTAAGTATTTAAATCTCATCACATTGCATCTTTTGCAAGTTGTTTGTCTCAGTTGTTCACCTTGGAAATAAAACGTTATTTTGCGTTCCATGCTTCCTTTCAAATTAAATTTTTGAGTGAAATTTGAATGTGTAACCCTTGCTTTAGGCTTTATAAAACAATGTTTGTACTGTATCACTACAGTTCCCAGCATGCACTGCAATAGCACTTGTGAAGCTACTGTAGCAACTTGATGATTAAAAGTAGGACTCACAATTTTAAAAAAGAAATGTTTAAATAGAGTGTTTAGCGAGCATGAGGAACTTTTTAAAACTCTTCTCTTTCCCCTCTCTTGCACATCCAGACAAATAATCTTCCACAGCACCCCTAATGGCTCACAGGCAGTGGTGTAGTCTAATTTTTTGTAGTGGGTATACTCTGATATTTACGGTGGCCGAGAAGTGCAAAACAAATCACAATTCTGAAAACAAAATAACAAATTACAAACGCAAATGCAAGTCTAAAAAACAAAATAACAAGTCAGAAAACACAACAACAATTCAGAAAACATTATAACAAGTCAGAAAACACAATGACAAATCCGAAAACAAATTAACAAGTCAGAAAACACAACGACAAACCGGAAGAGGTAGGTATAGTTTGAGACAGCGCCATTGGTTTGGGATTACTCACCGCTGACTGGACGAGACATCTGTCAATCAACTTATACAGGAAAAACCAGCCGAAGAACAGCAGAGTCGTGGTAGAAAGTTCGGAGATGGTATTAAAGTAGCTCAGTTTAAATGTATTGTATGAATTGCCTTTACTATGGAATAAAAAATACGGGGCGTCTATTTACATTTAGTTAAAAGTGACTCTAAATCATCAGCTCCAGTGGTGCAGATAGATAAGCGTGTGCTCTTGGCTTTTTGACACGATCGACCCGGGTTTGATCCCGCCTTTTGCCAAACTTTTTTCCCTCCCTTTTCAAATCTCGTATTAGCAATGGATTCTAAATGTACTTAAAATATGCCTTGATGAACGAAACTAATTCTAAGAGGATAATGGAAGTTTCTGCTGTGCATGTGACTATTAAATATAGGCTATACATGCTTCAAAGTAGCTAACACTACTGTTTACATGTAGTAATATGAAAGATAATAAGCAAAAGAAATGTAATAACTCTTCATTATGTTATGTGCAGGAAAAAAACACGAACTTCTGCAGAGAGTAATGTTTGCGCTGCGCTGTTGTAACTGATCCAAGAGGGTCTGGCTGCAGCCTTGCAGTTTGCACTCTCAGACGTGCACTCTCAGTCATCTGCGCTTCCTCTGCAAGTGACATCACTTGCAATCGACACCTGCAGTCTTCGGTACCTGCGCCATTTGCAATTGGCGTATAGTGGGACGTGTTGGATTGAGAATAACTTCCGAAGTCGTTCAAGAATCATTGCTGTAAGTGCATATATGTATCCGTGTGTGTTTATTATACGTTTTATGCAGTATAATATGCAAAATTATGTTTGTCAACGTATTCGCTGCTCACTGTTTGTGTTTAAAAATTTGCATTAACTGAATAGCCTACTAACTAGCCAACCATGTAACCACTCCGTCACTATCTTAAATACAGCTAAACTAAGATAAACTACTGAACAGAATGGTATGTATGCTGTCGGAAGTTAATTATATGGCTTACACGTAAACAACTGTATAGTTTAGTGGAAGTGATTGTGGTGTTACTGATTTTATAACTAAAATGAATGACATAATTAAATGTGGTGTTTTTATTAGCAAAACAGGTAGTGTGAAACATTGTAAAACACCACATTTGATATTTTGTCCTGCTTCTACCCTGTTTCTCAGTTCAGATTATTACATTTGAGTGACTAATATATATATATATATATAAAACTGGTTTCTTCTATCATGCTCCTACAGATGCATCAATCAATATTATTATTTTCGGAAAACCCCCTGGTGCCACAGTGCACCTCATGTTGCACTATGTATCACTGCAGTTTATGCCCTGCTCTGAAGCCAACCACCCTGAAAAATAATGCTTTGGTATTGTTGGTCTTGATTTTCATACTGTGCTTTATCTACAGACAAAAGATTATGTCGTTGCCATTTGCCCTGCAGAACTGAGGCTCATTACCATTGCCCCAATTGCAGCAAAACTGTTCTGAGGAGATATGTTATGGAAGCTCACCTTCAGATATGCTCATCATCAGATGTACCCATCCAACCTTCTTCATCCTCTTTGGCTTCACAACCCTCTAAAACAACACCTGCACTGGTTCCTTTGTCATTTGTAACACCACCTGCACTGGTTCCCCTGACTGCAATGACACCTGCACTGGTTACTTTGCCCACAACGATACCTGCACTGGCTCCTCTCTCATCTGCAGTGACACCTGCACTGTCTCCACTACCTCCTGCAACGACACCTGCCCCGGTTCCTTTGTCCACAACGACACCTGGGCTAGTTCCTTTGGCTGCAGTGACACCTGCACTGGCTCCTCTGTCCGCAACAACAGGTTCACAGTCGTCAAAAAGCAAAAATGTGATTAAATGCCCACATTGTTCAGTCACTGTGATAAAAAAGAACTTGGTAATCCACATTAACAGAAAACATACTGACCATTCAAAAGATATTACAATGAAATCACATCTTTCTAGTGTGTGTATTGACTCCTCAAATGGACTGTCGGCAGTTCAAAGAAGTGGTCATGGTTTCTCTGTACCAGTTCATGTACAGAGAAAGACGTGGGGCAAAGCTCATTATGTTAGGTGTGAGTTGGAGGAATGTCGCCAATACCAGCTACTTGCTCACCGGAGTGGACACACGTTTAGTCTCTGTGAACATCTTCGTTCACTGGATTATTGTTGTGGAACAGCATTTGAGGAGCACTTGGAATCAAGTGTCCTTGATGAGATGGTGAAGCTCAGATTCATAGGAGAAGCAAAGGCGGCAGTTTGTTTGAAGAGGCAAAAATCAGCACAGGCAGCTCATGTCCCATTTTCAGTGTTGGTGGCATTAGGTAAATCTCAAGAGCAAATCACCCTCTCCATACATGAGCCTATTATTCATCACTACAATCGCCTTGGAAGAGTAATGGTCACATACAATTCCTCTGCTGGTACTTGGCACTGCCCATGTGCAAAGCCCAGAATGTCTTGCCCTCACAAAAACATTGCCAAATGGCACTTATTCCAAACAAATAAGAGCTTATTCACAACAGAGAAAGCTACTAAATCGAGTGACACCTTGTGTCCACAGCACTCAGATGAGCACATCGACACTCCCCCAACTGACCTTCAAAGCACTGTGGAATATATATATAACAAAAAGAAAATTCCAGGTAATCTCCCAGAAGCAGCGGCCAAATCAAAGACATTTCCATCAAGGTATCTTCCAGTGGAGACAACTTGTATGATCTGCGATGGTGAAATTGCACTTGATGAGCCAGCACTGATTACTGCGAAAGCTAAAATTGTAACCATGGAAAGTGTCATTGATGGTAAGTTCAATATTCAAATATATACGTTCATTATTCAGATTAAAAGAAACCGCTCAGAACTAAGCAAAACATTTGTTTGTTTCTGCTTTATAAAAGGTTGCATCATCGTTTATTTTTACTCTTTTTAGGCATCTCTACTTACACCAGAAGATGCCTAGAGTGTAATATGATATATAGGTACCAGGAATGGCAGGATGGTCTCCACAATTTTGATGATCATGTGCTTTTGAGTCTCGAACTTTGTCTGTATCTAAGACACAGTTTACAGGTTTGTCTTTATTATGTAGTGTTTTATAACTAATGTACCCATCCAATAAAGTAGCCATTCAGAGAATTTAATTTACCCATTCCCATTATGTCTTTTCCAGAACCACGTATCAGTTTCCAGGGCTATAGACACTTTGGACATGTAATATATATTTATATGTTGTATATATATATATATATATATATATATATATATATACATACATACATATACATGTGTTTTTTTTTTTTTTAAGTGAGTGACCTCAAAGAGCCTCCACCTGAGTTTAGAGGGGAAGTAGACATTGAGGATTTCTGGAAATCAGTAAATCTTGAGATGATCGCTTGGGAATTTGTTCCCAGTAAGTGTTTTCTCTCTTAAACCACAAGAAAATTGCACTTTGTCTCAATGTTTATATAATGTAGACTTCTAAATATGTGTATTTGTCTCAGGCCGGACAAA